GTATTTGGTGAAATAATTTCTAGGGTGCTTTTTTTTTTTCTTTTCTTTAACTGACTCCCTTAAAAAGCTCTGGAAAACAAATACACAGGAAAAAGAATGAAAATATGTTAAAATAAGGAATGAAGCAGTTACTGAAGTGTAATAATCCCGGTTTATAGCACACTTTCCATTTAAATTGTTTTTATTAGAGATAAACCTGTTAAGCATTGAGGAATTAAGTGCTGAACAGAGAAGGTTGTTTCACTGCTGTATAAATGAAGGATCCCAGTATGTAGAAAAGAATACAGCTGGTTTTACAAGTGAATTATTTGCCAGTTTGAAGGGCTCTGGTTACTTTGGCAGCTGTTATAAAGAATGATGATTTGTTTGTTGTCGAGATGGATACTATTTTTTTCGGAGGGGCGAGAGAGACTTTAGCACTGGGGTTTGTAGTTATTGTGGGCTTTCTCATCGTCCTTATGCCTGGTTTGCTATAAGGAAAACAAGGCAGAGGGATTTGGGGGAATTTCTTGGCACCGCTGTTGATACACAGACTTCTGGCTTGCCATCACGTGCGGCGCTTTTGGGACAATATTGAGAGGGAGCAGCCTGCAACTCCCAAGTATCAAAAATCAGTAATGGTGTGAAAGTCCCCTCATTTGGGAGGGCTAGGGGGAGAGAAAAATTCAATATATCGCTAAGTCTCAGCATCTCCTTTCAGACAGCTGGTCCTGGAAAATTTCATTCAAAGAACTGCAAATTGGAAGTCCCCACAATCGCTCTGTCGATTCTTGAGCGAAGGTGACTTTGGAAATTTGTGACAGCAGAGGAAGGTCTTGTTTTATTCACTCAACAGAAGTGAAATACAAGGGGAAGGGAGAAAGAACAGATCTGTGTGGAAAATGTCACTCGGGCTGTAACCTGAGCCGTAGTGAACTGTGCCTTTTGGAGGGTTTGGTGACCCTCCGAAAATCCTTGCTCTCTGGCTGCTATTATTGTAGCCAATTTCCAACTAAAATAAGTCTTTTGTCATCACCAGCCATGCTGCCTCTCACTGAGAAGAAACAAAACTTGTGCGTGGCAGCGAGGGCGGCCAAGCTGAAGGTCAGAGTGCAGAGGCAGATTGCTGCATCCCTGGGGCCGGGGCTGGAGCTCACCCGTTGGGACCAGGGATGCACCAACCGGGGAGACTGCCACTGACCTCTGGAGACAGACCCCGGGCCAGAAGCTGAAGAGAAAACATCCTAGTAAAATGCAAATTGGAGACAAGAGGGGTTCTTCCTCCTCTCTAGGCTTATGCAGGTGGAATAGCTGTTTTTTTCTGGCTTTTTGGGACATGATGGAAAGCGCAATCTCACATATCCAAAAGGGCAAGGAAAAGTTAACTGGAAAAAAATAATAAATACTTTAAACGTCTGTGTTTGCCCAACTGTTCAAACGTTTCCTCCATGCCAGATCCTCCCCCTTGCAAAAAAAAAAAAAAAAAAAGGATAAAAAAGAAAAAAAGCAAGTGAAAGGCAACTCCAAGCATTGTTTTGCAGAGTTCTCAGCTCTCCTTGGGCAGGGAGATGGGTACAACTTGTACACTTGAGGGATCTCTGTTGTTTGTGCCGCTATTGATTCTGCTCTTTGGGGGGAAAAAACCAAACCAAACAACCCCTTCCACGTAGGAGCAAAGGTACTGATGCATAGAGCGCTAGTATGGGGCAAAATATTTCATGCAAGTCTTTGAACCTGTGCAGGTCTTTACTCACATGAGTAAGGTTATGCAGTTGTCTTAATCATCATTAACTTCAGCTTTATGCTGAGTTGTATTTTGACAATACTCCATCTGAGTAGCACTTAATAAGCAAATAGCTTTTTTGGCTCCTGATTCCTCTGAACTTTTAAAAATGAGAGTGATTTAGGATTTCTTTTTCTTACGATAGGTGAATGTGAACATAGGGGAAAAGGGGCAGTGAGATGTTTCCCGTTAGCTTTTCTGTTCCATCATTTTTGCTGGTGTTACGTCAGCCTGGTGCTTTGGAAATTCAAAGAGCGATCAAAAGATCTTGGCCCTTCTATCAAAGAAAAAAACAGAGAGTATGAAGAAATTATCCCCGTGCCTGTGTATTTCTGCAGCTACAGCTAATTCGCAATTTTGCTTGCAAAGAGTTCTCAAATGTGATTTATAAATGTAACAGTGCTGCACTGTGCTCTCTCAAGGCAAGCCACATTAATAGTTTTAATCTGATGGGTTCTTACGAATTCCAGGTTTGGGATGCAGGCAGAAACTTGAAAGTGAATACTTTCTTTTTTTTTTTTTTTAATGCATAGTGGTTTGGAGTCTACTATAATGCAAAGTAAAGCGTTCTGTTACAAAGGCAGGGAGGATGGGACAGAAGGTTAAAGGGCATCCTGGAAACAAACAGCTGGACCAGTTTATTTAAACAGATACAAGGATGGGGAGCTGACCTCCGTTTGACTTCTAGTGGGAGGAGCGAGAATGTCATTTTATTACTTTGCCCAGAAGGAAAATGTTCTTGCGTCTGAATTCCCCCTGAAGACATCCAAACACTGGGCTGTTTGGCAGAATTGCTACTTATAGAAAATACTTATATGAATGCGTAGGAAGAAGATAACTGTTAACTACCTGTGTGTAAACTGTTCTTAAAGCAGATATCCCAAGCGATAGCGTGGGGCAAACAGGTGAGAATATGTATTACCGTAGGCACGTCTTGTGGATAATTATTGGTAAATCCCAGCTATATATTTTATTATTCTAGCTATATAGTTTATTATTGACACACACACCCACCCCTCCCTTCTTATTAAAAGCGCTTGTAGTTTGGAGGAGAAGGAAGAGAAGCTTGTGAAGCTGGGGAGTGCATGCTTAATGTTGCTCAGGGTTTCTTTGGAGTAAAAGCTTTTGGCAAACGAAGGTTTCAGGGACCAGCCAATCTCCTGGCTACCAAAAACCTTCCCCTCCTGCCGCAGTAACAGGTCCTGGCAATCAGGCAGGAGAAGGAGGGAGTAAACACATCAAGAGCCCGCTAGGCTTGCAGAAAGAAATGGCTGGGGCACTGGGGTTTTGTGTTGTTGTTTTACTTCGGAGAGTTACTGTGAAAATTGCTTTCTGCAAATGCAGATTACAGATATTAAACAATTTTCTAATTGGTCATGGAGCTAAGGCAGCTAATGGGGGAAAAAAAGCAGATTTTTTTTAATTGCATATTTCGCATGGTGTTTGTGCTACACCTGTGCTTATAATGAGAAAGGAGAATTAGTCTAACCTTCTGCTCACATGATTCTAATTTTCATGGTTTGTACAAGATAATGATAAACTGATTTGCAACACCATTTGCTGGAGTTGAGGTGGGGGTTTTTTTATTGGAAATGTGTAGAAAAAGTGATCTAATGCTGTTGCTGACAAAACATGACCTAGTTCAGGTGTAAGGTTTCCAGATCGGCACCCAGAACTGGTGCCTTTGAGCCCATTTTGTCAAGACAGGTTTGATTAGGACTCAACATCTTGATTAATTTTTGCGGGAGTTGGGTTATGGGAGTCAGTCGGGAACGGGAGATAGGAGGAGCCTGAAATCTCTGTGCTGGTCTTTGATGAGGGCAAAACAAACAGCACAGGGGGGTGGTTTGCGATTCTTCTCCCCGCCGGTGTAGGGGAATGGGTGGGCAGAGCAGCTTCCCGCAGAAAGGTCCTGGTGGCTTTATCTCTGCAGTCGGAGAGCTCCTGCTAAGCCACCCCAAGTAAAGGCAACAAAACCAAGCAGCAGGTAGCCTGTTGCAGACTTTCCCATTGCATTTTGCACGTGTAGCGAGGTTTTACCCACACTCAGGCTTCTTCCTTTACTGGTAAATATTGTGGCATACACATTTTTATTATTCTTTTTCTCTCTCGTAAAGAATGCAAAGTCTGGTTATGAGGCTTTGCCATGATTAAATCTCAATGGAGATATTTTCCAAATGGTTTTTAACTAAGCTTTCTGATGAGCAAAACCACAAGTGAAGTTCTTCTAACGCTCTTCAGAAAGGTTCCCAGCCATGGTTTCAAGCCTCCTGATTTCAGCGCCATGAGGACTGCCCGCAGAGGAGACTGGGGCACTTGTTATCCCTCTCCTTCTGTTTTGCTCCAAATTATTTTGAGTATTCCTTTCCCAAATAAGCATTGCAAGACTAACTGAGGCAAAGAGCTACAGAAATGCAAGGAGTGCGGTTGCAGATGGCTATTTTTAAAAACGACTGTACCTTTTTTTTATTTCCAAAGATCTGCTTTTCATTGTTCGGGGGGGAATTTTCAGTAGTCCAGTAATTACAGTTTAACAAGATGTTTGCTGTAAATGGTCAGGCCTAGCTGGAGAAAACAGGATTATAAATTCAATTACTGTAAAGCTATGACCTCGCCTTGACCCCTCAGACTTTGCATAAAGAGAGAGGGGGGGAAAAAACCCACCAAGAAATGGCTAGGAGGAATGCACGGCTCTGAAGTCCCCAGCAGTGTGACTTAGCGGTGATAAAACTCCAGACGTTCCCTCATTTGATGGGGTTCTGCCATCACAGTTCATTATCTTAATAGTGGGCATTAAAAGGGAATTAGGTTTGCAAGAAGTAGGGGCAGGTTTTGATAAAAAAAATTGGAAAAAGAAGTCAGAGGACATAAGGCAGAAATGGCACTAATGAGGGGGAGGTAGCAGATGCCCTCATGAGCATCTCGCCGACTTCACCCGTTTTTTTTGTGCCCCGTTCTGAATTGAGAAGAGCGTTGCCGGTATTGTTTCCTGAAAACTCGTCTAATTCCCCCATGAAAAGATGAAATGGAAGTGTCCGACTGTGGTAAAAAGCAGGCAAACATAAATCAGCTCGGAAACCCCAAGCTTGTACTCTCAAAGGTCATCGGGGTTAGAGGTTTTGCAGTATTTGCATCCGCACGCAGCCCGACGGAGAGCACCGGGGCGGGGCGAGAGGGCTTGGGGATGGGTGGAAGTCATCCGTTCCATAACCGTTTACTTTCCTCTTTTTTGTTGCAGGTTTATTAATGCTAGAAGAAGAATAGTTCAGCCCATGATAGACCAGTCCAATCGAGCAGGCAAGTCCCCAATAATAACTGTATTCAGGTCACGCACGCGAGAACCATCCTCAAGCCATTCACCGGGAGGTCCATTACCTGGTAAATAAATGAGAAATGAATGCTGGTAGTGATGGACAATTAAAATACAACCAGCTTTGTTTCATTACAACTCTAATCATTTTAACATGATTAAAATATTTTGGGGAAAAAAAGACATTGAAAAATTCAGAAAAAGAAACTAAAACGGTCCACTCCGTGACCGGACTTCCCGTACATGTTCGGAATTAAAGTTTTTTTTTTTTTTTTTAGTAATTGTTTTGAGTTTTCCTTCCCAGCAACTGCTGCTCCTGTGACCACTCCCTGGTGCATGGCTTGGTGTGGAATTGCTGTAAACTTTATTACCTGTCAAAAGGGCAAAGGGGTCAGAATCGCTTGTGGGACTCAGTAAAGTTCAAAGACATTCAATGAGGTAGAGCTTTATGTGCTTTAATAACCCAAGGCAGCTTACTTCTGAAGCCAGCTTTTAATGTACAGTTAAAACCTCGAGTTCAGGTAGCGGTACTTGGATAGGGTCCTTTTGTCCCTCATCTCTTCTGTTTAGTAGCTGTCTTTTGGATTGCTGTGTGTTTGGGGCTTACTTGGGGGGGATTTTTATTTTTTTTTAATTTTAAAATCTTGGCTCGCAGCTCTGTGTGGGTATTTACCATCAAGGAATAGCCTATTACTCCCGGTTGGTTTTGTTTTCTGAGTCTTGCTGCCAAACTATCCAAATCCATCGTTGTCCAAGATGCCTTTGGGCCACACTGCCTTTTCGAGTACATTGGATTATTTTGTCATTAGGGGTAAATATCTGGCACGGACATGTTCAGGTCCCGCTCTTAGAAAGGCACACGGGCGTAATTTAACACACTGCAATTTCAGTGTGACTATTCCAGCCATAAAATCCAGCTCCTATACAGGTCTTTGCATTGACGTCAGCAGTGGCAGCAGCTGGAGCCGGGGCTCCTCGTGTCTCGAGATTTCGGATTGCTGACTTCATTTCCAAACTCTCAGTAGGAAATTAAGCCAAAACTAAGCAAGCTTGTTAGCCTGGCCACTAAATTCGAACAGTAAATGTTCTTCCCTCTTTTTAGAGCCAGCATTGATAGCCGTCTCACGCAGTGCTTGGGTGGGGGTTGTGTCTTGATGCCATGAGAAGAGGTGACCCTTTTGGCTGTGGCTAAAAAGCAATGTTCTGCACTTTTCCAGTAAGTCAAGGGACACCCTATAACCCTGACGGGCAGCCAATGGGAGGTTTCGTGATGGACGGCCAGCAGCACATGGGCATCCGAGCGCCAGGTAAGCCCCCAGGGGAGCGTTGCCCACCCATGGGTGACCTTGGTTGCGCCACCACAGGTAACTGCACCTCCACCCTCCACCGTCGTCTCAGCTGCCTGCCTTGCCTCGCCTCGCCTGTCTTCTGCCTGCCTTCAGTGCTGCCGAGGGAAACCAGGCATATTCTTGCTCGAGTGGTCCTGAACCCTCTGCTGTGCTGTGTTTTGGAAAGGGGCTTTTGGCACTATCTGTTGACTTTGCTCATTCTCTGGCATCTTCTTGGATTTTTATCTCCCTCTAGGACCTATGAGTGGAATGGGCATGAATATGGGCATGGAGGGGCAGTGGCACTACATGTAACCTTCACCTAGGTAACCAATGGCAAAGCCAGGGGGAAGTAAGTACAAACGGGGTCTTTGTTCTCACTTTGTCCGAGGGATATTTGTCTCCTTGCATTTCCCTATGTTCTCCCTGCCCATAGCCTCATGCTTGTTCCTTCCTTTCCATCCATCCATCCTACGCCTGGGCTCCTTTTGGGTTTCTCTCCCTCCAGTTCAGCTCAAGCTTTTCCAAGCTCCCAAACCCCCTGTGCGCGCGCGCGCCGTACATTGACGCCACCGTACATCGACGCCGCCATACATTGATGCTATTATCCATCCCCGAGCACATGACAAAACAAGAAGCAGCCGGGGAGGTGGGGGAGCCCGTCGTCTTGGCAACAGACTGATTTGCAAAATGTAAGCGGTCTGCAGCAGCGCAGGGAGAGGAAAGAGCATGTCCCCAAAGTGTCATAAATCTGTCTAACCGCAGTTGATGCATGAGTTACATTTCTCCCGCTAACCTGCAAGACACCAAAAAAGCCAAACAGAGACTTCTCGTAGGTAAAAAAAAAAAAAATAAAATAAATAATCGGCAGCTTCACTGAGTTGCGTTTTGGAAGGCGATGGACGAAACTTTGATTTTTTTTTTCTTTTTTTTTTTTTTTCAAGTTTATTTCTCTTTGTCTGTCCGTCATAATGGGATTACGTGTGGCAAAAGAAAAAGAGAGAATACAAAATAGAGGTGTGCGCAGCAGGCTATGGAGCTTAGCCCAGGCTAATTGACTATATCCAAATTAAGTATGCCATCACTTGCAGTGTGACAAATGGATTTGACTTATTCAGTATACAAAAATAGAGATCATTAATGCAATCTTCAGTGGCAGGCCTTGCGAAGAAAGCCTAGAAAAACTGTCCCAGTTTCCCCCCCCTTGTCTTTTTATAGGGGAAAATACATTATATGAATTTTAGGTGTTGTTTTTTTTTTAAAAAAAGGAGTAAAGCTGTTTGAAACACCAAGGCACTGGTACCATGTTTAATTAAATGGTCCCTGATTCTGTTCCTTTCGCTTTCTTTCTGGAGTTAAAAGCAGTTATTTTGGCATCTTTGTGGTGCCCCCAGCCTATATTAACATAGGGCTTGAAGTTACCCAGGCCAAGTGTATTTCATAGTCGTCTTCTCTGGGCGCGAGTCAAAACTAAGTTTTAACAATTAGCTGTGAAAACATTCCTCTGAGCTTGGGAATGCAACAGCCTTATTACCTCATCATGGAAATTTCTAGCTTAGTTAATTTAAATATTGTTTCTTAGTTTCTGGGTCAATTAAATTTAAATGATGTATTTTATGCTTCGTGACCAATTAAATTAATAGGTTATTACAAAAAATATTATCATCTTTTTTGATTAAAGAGCTGTGAGTACAGTATATTTTATAAGCAATTTTCATTAGTTCAAAACTGTTCCTTTAGGCTAGATTAAGCAGCTATTCATTGCTAGAGCCTTGAGACCTGATTCCAAGGTGTTCGGCGCATTCACAGCGCGCTCTTACTTAGAACTAAAGCCAATTGAACCTACTTAGCAATAGCGTATGCCTTTCACCCTTGATGATTATGGAGCTTATAGCTCTCCGAAACAATACACCTGTCAGTTCCCATCAGCTACAGCAATCCAAGCAGAAGGCAGAGGCCCACGGAAAGCAGGAGGTTTTATTGTTTTAGGTCCAATTTTTTTCTCATTGTTCTCCCAAGCCCACTGAAAGGTTGACTGAGTTGCGCGTCTGATTTTTTTCAGACAGAAATTAGAAGGGGGAAAGAATTAATTGATAACTGCTATCGATTATATATATTTTTTGTAACGTGTTTAAAAATACAGGTTTGATTTAACCATCGTCCTTAGTAATCCTATCAATTTCGGCTTCCTATGAGGCCTTTGTTCAGCGATGTATGTGCTTGCTGTATAGTGTCCGTTTGAATGGCGCAGATACTTGGGACAGATTCCAAGTGATCGGGCTTGAGAGCTGGATAAATAACTGTTGATAAACCTCGACACCGATGTAACCCACCTCTCCTCCCAAGCCCCTCATTAACTACTACAGATTCCCTGCCTTGTGTTCCCAGCGCACTTTTACAAGCGGGGAGACGCAGGCGGGTAGCTGGAGCAAGGCCACAGGGGATGGAGCCCACCTGAGAGCCCTCGCAGGGCTTCCCCAGCTTGGTGCTACCACCCTGTGTGACGTTAGTCATCATCGGGCTGGCTTGGCCTCTGGCACGCTTCCAGACAGGAAGCATCTCCATCGCATACATTCCTAACCGTAAAAGCAGAGAGAGGTTTTTATCTCCCAAAACTCTGCATTTGAAGGGGGGAGGATGTTCTTGGGGGGGGGGTTGACCTGGGAATTATTCCCGTTGCCATTGTTGTGAGTCCATACGCAGGCTCCGGTCGCACAAAGGCAACTGCACCCACGCACCCATGGCTCCACATCCCACCTTTGGCTCGAGCCCGGCCGTCCCGTGCCCGAGCAGAGGAGCTTCATGGCCCAATGTCGGTGGCCGGTTCCCCCCGACTCACCACCGCCTCTTTCTCTCCACAGGGCTGCAAAGTATGCCAGGGGATTATGTGTCTCGGGGTAGTCCAATGGGTATGAATATGGGACAGCCAAGCTATACCCCGCCCCAGATGCCCCCCCATCCCGCTCAGCTGCGTCATGGCCCCCCCATGCATACCTACATTCCTGGACACCCTCACCACCCAGCGATGATGATGCATGGAGGACCACCCCACCCTGGAATGCCCATGTCAGCATCAAGCCCCACAATGCTTCATACCGGCGAGCCGGCAGTGAGCGGACAAGTGATGGACATTCATGCTCAGTAGCTTAAGGGAAATACGCGTTGTCTGCAGCGACGGTAGATTTCAAACATTGTCTTTCTGCAATGACTATGGAGTTCTTGGCATCAACTTTGGACCAAGGGACGTTCCGATTCTTCACAGGGACCCTGAAAAGCAGGAAAACACCAACCGAAGTCAACTTCTGGGGACATGCTAAATACCTATATAAGACATTAAGAGAACAAAGAGTGAAATATTGTAAAATGCTATTATACTGTTATCCATATTACGTTGTTTCTTATAGATTTTTTAAAAAAAATGTGAAATTTTTCCACACTATGTGTGTTGTTTCCATAGCTCTTCACTTCCTCCAGAAGCCTCCTTACATTGAAAAAAAGAAGCCTTACACTTTTCCTGCAAATGACAGAAAGGGCTTATTTGCAGGATTTTTAGAGCATTAAAATAACTATGTCAGGCAGAAGAATCTTTCTTCTATCCTAGGATTTCAGCCATGCACACTCTCTATCTCTCTCCTCCTCTCCCTCTGTCTGTCTTTCTTCCCTTTCTCTCCCCTTCTCCCCCTCTCCCCCTCTCTCTCTTTCTAGCCTGGGGCGTGAATTTGCATGTCTAATTCATTTACTCACCATATTTGAATTGGCCTGAACAGATGTAAATCGGGAAGGATGGGAAAAACTGCAGTCATCAACAATGATTAATCAGCTGTTGCAGGCAGTGTCTTAAGGAGACTGGTAGGAGGAAGCATGGAAACGGAAAGGCAGTGTATTTGAAGCCTAATTGTCACATCAGAGCATCCTTGTCCCCATGCAGCAACCACCACCTTGTACATCACTTCCTGTTTTATGCAGCTCGAAACATGGACTGAAGATTTATTTTTAATATGTTGACTTTCTTTCTGGGCAAGACATCGGTCATGTGTGCATTTTTTTTTTCCATAGTCCCATCATGGAGCATTTATGTATACATTGTAAATAAATTTTGTGCAAAAAGGACTGGAAAAATGATCTGTATTATTGCAATTTTTTTGTAAAAGTAGCAGTTTGGTATGAGTTGGCATGCATACAGATTTACTAAGTGGGATAAGCTAATTATACTTTTGTTGTGGTTAAACAAATGCTTGTTGATAGCCTTTTTCTATCAAGAAACCAAGGAGCTAATTATTATTAATAATAATCATTGCACACTGAGTCTTAGAGTTTCTGATTGAAACAGTTTGGATTGTATAATAACTCAAAGCCCAGTTGTAGTAGTTTGAGTGCAGTAATGAAATCTGAATCTAAAATAAAAACAAATTATTTTTTGTCATGGTGACTCCACTGCTTGCAAAATTTGTTTCCTGCCCCCCTGAGGATTTGTAGCCATCCTATCCCAAATTGGGAGCCGAGCAGCTACAAAATTCAGCTAGCTCCAGGGATGTACCTATCGTTCGCTATTTAAATATCAGCTTTGTATGTGAAGAACGTAGAAGTAATGCTATGCTGCGTAAAGAAACTTTCTCAGAACTTGCACTATAAATTGTCAGGATGGGAACTGTTGCCTTTTATTAAATGTAATATCATAGGGCATTATCGGACAGGAATTTGTAAATAGTATTACCCCCACACACACCAAATTACAGTTCTAATACACAGTTTAAATTATTTGAGCCACTGACATACGACGTTTCTTTCTGGAACTGAACATATTAGGGAAGGAGGAAAATAAAACGCGGAAAACATTGCCTGGGCAATGGATATCTGTAAGTAAATGACGAGCTGGTGTGAGGGGCTGCCGGACCTCTGCGAGCGGAGGCTGGTGCAGGCCGTCCTCTCCTCATTAACCAATTTCCTCACACAGCTGTACTTTCTGCACCGCGGCCAGTGAGTTAAATAGCACCAAATAGCCTGGGTAGGCTGCGATACCGTCTCATTTTCTTTAAATAAAATCGCAGCTTTGTTTAAAAAAAAAATAGTTTCCCGGGGGTAGGAAAAATACACAAATATTTTAATTCAGGCAAAATCATGCAACAGCCCCCTCCCCGGCCGTGTCCCGGGGGTGCTTCGGGGGCAGCTGCCCGGCGGGCGGCCCCGGCCCGGGCTCTGCGTCCCCCCCGGGGTCCCCCTGGGGTCCCCCTCTTTTTTTTTTTTTTTTTGTAACTCCGAGTTTTCTTTTTTTCCCTTTTTTCTTTTTTTTTAAAGGGCCGCTGCACCGCCGAAGAGGCTGCACATCCCTCTCCCGCTTTGTGAGCCCGGAACAACGACACTTTTCTGCCAAAACGTGAATGAACGGGGCTCGCTTTTTGCTTTTTTTAGGTTTTTTGTTTTGTTTTGTTTTGTTGTAGCTTTTTTTTTTTATGTTTCTTGAAAGACAAAAACAAACCGCCCTCTTGCATGCGAGGGCACACGCGTCCCTTCCTCCTCGCAGCCGCAGAAGTGGGGTACAAACCTTCCTCCCTCGGACCTTTCTTTTTTTTGGGGGGGGGGCAGGTTTCAAATTAAACCCACTATTATATCCCAAGACATTTAATCAGCTGTAATTATAACACATTCAAAATGAAGAATATGCCTTGACAGTATTTTTATTGTTATTGTTCATCGCATGATGTTAGACAGCTTCAGAGGCACAGGAAAGAGAAGTAAACGGGTTACAAATAGGGAATTATCCCTCGTTTAGCATTAAAATTCATTTAGATAAAATTGCCACAAACATTTAAATGGGGAGATTAGTTCCCCCTCACGCCTTATTGCACTCTCTCAATGGCTCCGTTAAGAACATTTTACACGTTGGA